TGCCAAAAAAACGAGGAACAGTCATGCCAGGGCGTTGATTAGAGGTGTACATAGGTCGGTTAGTTCGGATTTTCCAATTATCAAATCAAACCAATTGTGTCGGGTTATTAAATCTAAAGACCAAACTAAATCAATAAAAGTCGGGTTTTTTAATCTCGACTTTTCCTCGGGTTGTTTTTAAATTTGGGGTTTTTCCATTTTTTCTCATCAAGTCTTCATAGCACAAAACATAGAATTTGTGTTCCAAATATTTCTTTAATACTAGTAAGATAGGACTATATAAGGTATTTTTCAATAAAATGACATAAATATGAGATGAGTCATGACATTGTACTAAAATATTCAACAATAAAGATAATAAAATTGCATAAAATAAATATTATTAATAAGCTATAATAAAAAAAATATAATTTAAAATTACTAAGTTGCTAAAATAAGTACAACTAATAAGTACTATTATTTACATAACTAAACACTAAAAAAAATAGGTTATGCGTTTTATCTAAACCATGAAAAAACTAAAAAAAGATATCCAACACTATTTTCATTCATAGTACAATTGAATTCCAAGTCTTTTATTAGCATTAGTATTGATTTGATTTCCGTTTACAATTTATTTGAGTAACTAACATTTATGAACTATAAAACTTATTGGAGCATCCAAAAATTATAAGTCCAAGCTTTAGATAATACGCTACAAGATAAAACTATGAAATATCTTAGAAATATTTATAAACTACACTACAATAAATATTTTTATGTATTAAATATATTGAAAACTTATATACATATAATGCCGGGTTGGTTTGGTTTTGGTTTGACTTTTTTTAGTTAAAAACAAACTAAATCAATTACGGTCGGTTTTTTTTTTCAATATCAAACCAAATCAAACCAAACCATAGTTGGGTTTTTTTCTCGGTTTGACTCGGATTATCGGGTTGGTGCGGTTTGTCGGTTTTGTTTGTACACCCCTAGCAATGACTATGGTTCCTTAGATCATTTTTGATTACCTGAAAACATTTAGGCGATCCGGGTCAGGGGGACCGGTACCATGCGGAAAGCATGGGCTATAGCACCCAAAAACTAGGTATCAGGTGAAATTCTAGTTTTATGACCGCAGAACGCCAGAAAACGAGGAAGGATCATGGCGGGGCGGTGACTATGGTTCCTTAGGTCCTTTTTGATGGCACGAAATATTTTTTGGAGATCCGGGTCAGGGGCCCGGTCCAATGCGGAAATGGTGGGCCCTAGCACATGAAAATCTTGGAATTTGTTGGAATTCAAGTTTTATGGCTGTAAAACGCCAAAAAATGAGGAACGATCATAGTAGAGCGGTGACTATGGTTCCTTAGGTCGTATTTGATGGCCCAAAATTTATTTTGACAATCCAGGTCCGGGTCCCTGCGAAAGGCATGGGCTATATCACACGAAAATCTAGGAATCAGGAGGAATTTCAGTTTTCTGGCTGTAAAATGCCAAAAAATGAGGAACGGTTATGGCGGGGCGGTGACTATGGTTTCTTAGGTTGTTTTATGTCCCAAAATATTTTTAGGCAATTCGGGTCCAGGTACCCGGGCCCATGCGGAAGGCATGGACTATAGCAGAAGAAAATATGAGAATCGGGCGGAATTCAAGTTTTATGGCCGTAAAACGCCAAGCAATGAGGAATGGTCATGGAGGGGCAGTGGCTATGGTTCCTTAGGTCGTGTTTGCTAGCCTAGAAAAATTTTAAACTATCCCGGTTCGGGTGCAAATGCAGGAGGCGTTGGCTATAGAACACGAAAATATGAAAAACGGGTGCAATTTCTATTTTATGGCCATAAAACGATAAAAAACGAGGAATAGTCATGGCGGGGCAGTTACTATGATTCCTTAAGTCATTTTTTATGGCCCGAAAATATTTTAGGCGATCTAGGTCCGAGCCCATGTGGAAGGCGTAAAGCATAATACAAGAAAATTTCGGAATCGGGCGGAATTACATTTTATGATCATAAAACGCCAAAATATGACAAACGGTCATGCCAAGGCGGTGACTATGGTTCGTTAGGGCTTTTTTGATTGCCCGAAAAACTTTTAGGTGATCCGGGTCCGGAGGTCCGATCCTATGCGGGACGCATGGGCTATAGCACACGAAAATCTAGGAATTGGGCAGAATTCTAGTTTTATGGTCATAAAACGCCAGAAAACTTTACGGCCATAAAACGAGGAACGGTCATGACGGGGCGATGACTATGGTTCCTTAGGTCATTTTTTATGGTCCGAAATTTTTTTAGGTGATCCTTGTCCGGGGACACAGGCCCTTGCTGAAGGCGTGAGCTATATAACACATGAAAATCTTGAAATCAGGCGGAATTTTAATTTTATGGCCGTAAAACGCAAAAAATGAGGAACGGTCATGGAGAGGTGGTGACTATAGTTCCTTAGGTCATTTTTATGGCCCGAAATTATTTTAAGCGATCCTGGTCCGGGGGCCCAGGCCCATGCGGAAGGTGTGGGCTATAGTATACAAAAATCTTGGAATCGAGCGGAATTCTGGTTTTACTATCGTAAAACCCCAAAAAACTAGGAATGGTCATGGCGGGGCGTTGACTATGGTTCCTTAGGTCATTTTTGATGGCTTGAAATATTTTTAGCCGATCCGGGTTCGGCGTCCTAGGGCCATGCAGAGGTGAGCAATATAACACGCGAAAATCTAAGAATCGAGCGGAATTCCAGTTTTATAACCGTAAAACGCCAAAAACAAGGAATGGTCATGCCGAGGCGGTGATTATGGTTCCTTAGGTCATTTTTGATTACCCAAAAAGTTTTTTGACAATCCAGGTCCGGGAGCCTGGTCCCATGCAGAAAGCATGGGATAGCACATGAAACTCTAGAAATCGGGTGTAATTCTAGTTGTATGGCTGTAAAATGCCATAAAATGAGGAACGGTCATTGAGGGGTGCTGACTATAGTTCCTTAGGTCCTTTTTAATGGCCCGAAACCTTTTTAGGATATCCGAGTCTGGGGGCCTGGTCCCATGCGGAAAGGGTGGGCTATACTACACGAAAATTTTGAAATTGGTGGAATTCTAATTTTATGGCTGTAAAACGTCAAAAAATAAGGAACGATCATAAATGAGCGGTGACTATAGTTCCTTAGGTCGTATTTGATGGCCCAATTTTTTTTTGATGATCCAGGTCTGGGACCGAAAGGGATGGGCTATAGCACACAAAAGTTTAGGAATCAGGCGGAATTTCAGTTTTATTGTCGTAAAACGCCAAAAAAGAGGAACTGTCATGGTGGGACGGTGACTATGGTTTCTTAAGTTGTTTTATGGACCGAAATATTTTTAGGCAATTCGCGTCCGGGGGCCTGGGCCTATGCAGAAGGCGTAGGCTATAGCAGAAGAAAATATAAAATCGAGCGGAATTCTAGTTTTATGGTCGTAAAATGCCAAACAGCGAGGAACGGTCATGTCGGGGCGGTGACTATGTTTCCTTAGGTCGATTTTGGTGGCTTAGAAAAGCTTTAGGCTATCCTGGTCCGGGTGCACTGGCCAATATGGAACGCGTGGGCTATAGAATACGAAAATCTAGGAATCAGGTGGAATTTCATTTTTATGACTGTAAAACACCAAAAAAACGAGGAACAATCATGGCGGGGCGGTGACTATGGTTCCTTAGGTCGTTTTTGATGGCCCGAATTTTTTTTAGGCGATTTTGGTCCGGGGGCCCAGGCCCATGCGGAAGGCGTGGGCTATAGCACACGAAAATTTGGGAATTAGGCGTAATTCCAGTTTTATTAATCGAAAACGCCAAAAAATTAGGAACAGTTATGGCGAGGCGTTGACTATGGTTCATTAGGTCATTTTTTGATGGCCCAGATTTTTTTTTAGTTAATCCCTGTCCTGGAACCCGAGCCCATATGAAAGTCGTGGGCAATAGCACATGGAAATTTGGGAATTGGGCGAAATCTCAATTTTATGGCCGTAAAACGCTACAAAACGAGGAACGGTCATGGCGGGGCGGTGACTATGGTTCCTTAGATCCTTTTTGATGGTTTGAAAATTTTTTAGGCGATCCGGGTCCAGGGTCCCGGGTCCATGCGGAAGGCGTGGGTTAAAGGACACGAAAATCTACGAATCCGGCAGAATTCCAGTTTTATGACCGTGAAATGCCAAAAAATGAGGAACGGTCGTGACAGGGCGATGACTATGATCCCTTAAGTCGTTTTTGATGGCCTGAAAATATTGGAATCTGGGCCCATGTGGAAGGCGTAGGCTATAACACACGAAATATTGAAATCGGGCGGAATTTCATTTTATGACCGTAAAACGCCAAAAAATGAGTAGTTAGTTATAAGGGTAAAACAAGGAAAAAAAATTATCTTTCTCTTGATTTGCTAAAATGGATAACAACAACAACAAGGATAGTGTGTACGTAGACCTTACCCCTACCCGATAGGGTAGAGAGGCTGTTTCCGATAGAATAGGTGAAATGGATAAGTAAAAGTGAAAATATATTTTTAAAATAGTAGACAAGTAAAAGTGAACGGCGGGAATAGTAATTATGATACAAGCACAGATATATGTATGTTCAAATTTATAAAGAGACAATTTCAAGTGGATGATAGTATCATAACATAAGCAGTAAAGGAAAATTAAGTTCATTAATTATGATCCATGTGAATGGAGATTGGAGTTTCCAAGTTGACTTCGCCCTCTCCTCTCTTTCTTGTTAATGCAACTCTTTCCCTTACAATAAATGATGCTATCAAGATTGTCGATCTGTTTCATTTAAACAATATACACATCTACGCCACTATCACGTTGAAAAAAATTAATTATTACGTAATATGGGATTCACTTAAATCCTTCTTTTCTTATGTAACTTAAAAAAATTAATTCCAAGCAAAAGCAAGACATAACGATTTGTACATAAGTGTGGAAAGTGCAAGGGGCTCTTCAAAAAAGGACCTATTGTATTTATACAAAACAAATTAAGAACTGAAATAAATTAGATATGGTTGAATCAATGATTCTTTCCAGAAAAATGATCAAGCCCTCCTCCCCCACCGATATTAGTCGTCACAATCTTTCTTTCATTGATCATATAGCTAGTTCTGCATATGTTCCAGTTGCCGCCTTCTACTCCAAACCTGAAAATAACATAAGCCAGATTCTTGAAAACTCCCTTTCAAGAGTATTGTCCTCTTATTATCCCTTTGCCGGAATAATCATGGATAATAAATATGTCGACTGCAACGACACAGGTGCTGAGTTTCTCAATGTGCGAATCAGTTGTCCAATGTCTGAAATTCTCGACCACGCGTACAATGATGTTACTGATGTTGTCTTCCCACAATATTTGCCTTGGAGTAGTTACTCAAACGGAAGTTTATTGGTGGTCCAATTAAGCCATTTCGATTGTGGTGGAATAGCAGTCAGTGTATGCCTATCACACAAGATTGCTGATGGATATAGTCTTTGTAAATTCCTTAATGATTGGGCTGCTACAGCTCGACATGAGTCGGATTTCAAACCATCTACTCAATTTGATGCTTATTCTTTCTTCCCACTAATGGATGATCCTCCAGTTCTACGCGATATTGTGCGTGAACCTCAACGATGCGTATCTAGAATGTACCATTTCTCATCCTCTAGTTTGGGCAGACTCAAGGATATTGTTTCAACGAATTCACAAGTGCAGAATCCAACTCGCGTTGAAGTTGCCACAGCACTGCTTCATAAATTTGGAGCGGCAGTATCAATGGCGAATTTCGGCATGTTCCAACCATCTATACTGTCCCATTTAATGAGTTTTCGCCCACCATTGTCTCGGAACACCATTGGAAATGCTTGTTATTTCTTTGGATCAATAGCATCGACGGAAGATGAAATAGAATTGCCCCACTTCGTTGCTCAACTACGAAACGCTAAACAATATCTTCAAGACAAGTCGAAGGATCCAAATACGCTAGCCTCACATGTACTTGAAAATGTCAAAGAGCGTGCAAACAAATCAGAGAAGAGTACCAAATTTGATTTTTATATGTGCAGCAGCTTGTGCAATTTAGGAGTATATAAGATTGATTTTGGATGGGGTGAGCCCATAAGAGTGACACTTGCAAGAAATCCGATGAAGAACAACTTCATTTTCTTGGATTCTCCAAATGGAGACGGGATAAATGTGCTAATCACTTTGAGAGAAGCTGATATGTTAATATTTGAGAGTAACAAAGAGCTCCTAGAGTTTGCTTCTCCACTAGTTTAGTAACTCAATAAGTCTAGCGCCATATTTCTCTATGTGATCTTCATACAATACTAAGTGTGTTTTTATTTTTCTTGTATTTTGGGAAAGTTGTGCAATTGTTCAAGTTTTCGTTTCAATTCATTTGTCGTTATCAATATTGGACCTTTTTTAGCGTAGTGTAACGAGATACAATTAGAGTCACCACCCTCTAACCAAGGCATACAATATAGAGCCAGATCTCTCTATAACAATAGTATTACATAGCAATCATTCACTATAAAAGTCAAGTTTTCGTTGGAATCAATTTTCATGCTATGCTATAATATATGTTCTTTATAATAGCACTTCGTTATAACAATAAAAAAAATCGTAAATAAATAAGGCTGCTATAAAGAGGTTTGGATGTATACCTACGGAGAAGCAAATCTTGATTAAACTTATATTTGCTCAATGAATCCAATCCTCATGGTAAAACTTCATATGGGTTCGATGTACTTTTATCTTCAACGAGTGTTGAGTGGCCCAGTATTCAATTCGGGTCGAAGGAACTGACCTATTCTCCTTTAGCATAAGGAACCTTTGGCTTAACAGGAACAATAATCAGTAATTACAACAATAACTTCTTCAATCACCTAGCAACGATAAATATCCTTACTAGCAAGGAAGTGATTAAATATGATATGCTTCTCAAACCATTCACATTTTTTTTTATTTATAAAATTCCCAGTAGAGTCTTGGTTGTCATTGCATAACTCAAACCATTCACATCAAATGACATTCCCTTCGTTTAGGTAATTATAAGCTTAATATTAATGGAGCTTCATCAAAAGACAAAGAAGGTATCAACGGCGGCGTCACTAGAAACAGCAAAGCAGATTGGGTTGTCACGTGTGGTTATTCAACTTCGAGTTTGTAATACAAAAATTATTTTTCTATTTTTTATCACACAACTCATTCAACCTAAAGTTTATCACACAAAAGTCACTTCTTTTTTGTCACATAAAAGTCATCTAAGTTTAACTAAGTTAACTAAAAATAAATCCCACCTCAAGTTTTATATTTTATATCAAAAATTATGACATGACACTCCAAGATAGTTGGTTAGCTTAATAAACTATAGTATAAACGGTTTAATTTTAGAGACCTTCCCTATGTTTTCTCTTTGTAACACTAATCTCCTTTGTAGTTTACGAAATTATGCTTATTTTTTTGTTTTGATTATTTTGTAACAATTCAAAGGCATGAGACATATCAAACTTGTAATTTTGTGTTTGATATTGAATTGTTTGAAGCTGTAACAACGAATTTTCTACTAATTTAAAAGGTGATTATAAAATTCACTAAACACATGAGTGTATTTTTACTAAGGGAGAAATAGTCAAATCATATTTTTTTGCATTAATAATGAGTTAAAATATTATTACAAAGAAATCAAAACAAGAAAAGTAAACATAATATCATTGGAGATTAATTCCAAATGTTATTTATTTATTTATTCTGGAGTGCCATGTCATGTAAAAATTCAAGTGAAATTTGCTTTTAACTTGTAGTCAACGAGATATGCATGTCATGTTACCATGTAATTTTCATTTCTTATTTTTAATGACAACTCAAACTGTATAGAATATGTGCTATCAACTGCTGGAATATGTATTCTGATGAATAGGGATTCATCAAAATATTTGCTCTAATGTCGTGCTTATTACTCTATTTTGAACCTTCAGAGCACTTCTGGAGATATGTGGACTTTAACCCATTATTAATTCTTTTAGTGTGTGCACACGAAAAGAAGAAGATTCACATAATCTTTTTGAGCTGGAGATTACAAATTATTTGATTAATCAATTTAAACCTTTAAGTAAGCGGGGAGAAAAACAACTTGGCCAAATAGGCTCTTAGTAGGTGTTCAAATGTATTTGGCCTATTTTTAATGAGAAGTCAAACTGTATCGTGTGCTATCCACGGATGGAATGCGTATTCTTATGAATAGGGATTTGTCACTCCAAATTTGTGCTATTATTGGAACCTGCAGGGCATCTCCTAGAGATCTGCAAACTCTAAGACGCGAAACATAGAAGATTCACATAATCTTTTTGAGCTGGAAATTACAAAGTAAATTATTTGATTAATCTAGATAGTTAAATATCCTTCTCAAACTATTCACATCAAATGGCATTCCCTCCACTTAGGCCATGACAAAGAAGGTATATACGGCGTCTTTAAAAACAGAAAAGCAAATTTGGTTGTCGGCTTCTACGATGGTCAAATCAATACAAATCATTTAAGAACTGAACTGATCATGGCTTTATTAATTACGTGGTTTTGAAGATACCCCGTGATAGTTTGCCGGCAGGGGCGGATCCGGCCCTTCGATACCGGATTCAATTGATCCCAATAATTTCGTCGCAGAGTACAATTTACATATAAAATTTATTACAGTTGCAACAAATAGAAGATATGAACTCATAACTTTAAAAATATAATAATTTAATATTAAAAATCTTAAAGGTTAGACTCACCTCTATAATTGCCGGCCTCCCATTATTATTAACTTGTAGTCAACGGGAGATACATATTCATGTTACCGTGTGATTTTCATTTATTATTTTATGACAACTCAAACTTTATAGAGTATGTGCTATCTGTTGAAAATGTCAAAAGTCCCACATCGGTGGGTGACATATTTGGTTGAGATTTTTTTCCTATAAAAGGAGGCCTAATGTTTAGGATTTAAACACACCTCTCATTTGCCTTCTTATCTTCTTAAGGCATTTGTATCTTCTCTCTTTAGTATTATTTCACTTGTATTTTTGGAGTGGAATAAAATATTGGTTGTGTCCGAGAAAGTAGGCAAAATTGGCCGAATCTCGTAAATTCTGGTATTCATTTTATTGTTGCTTTATTATCTTATTTATTATTTGGTGGCTGTCATAATTTTTGGTATAGTAGTTGTGACTCATTCACACTATATACATTTGGCTTCCGCAACAATTGGTATCAGAGCCAAGGTACTGTCTAAGTATGCTCTGTGGTTGCAGCATAGTCTGATCTTCCATATCAGAAAAAATTTATCTTGGTAACCGAGTCAAGATTCTATCTGAGTATGCTCTATGGCTGCAGCTTAGTCTGATCTTCCACACAAGAAAGGAAATAATCTTGATTTGAGTCGTCAACTATTAAATAATATTTGTGTCAAAAATGGGAGATAATAAACAAGAAGAATCTACATCAAGTGTCAATAATATGTCATCATTGGCATCATCGCTTATGACAAGAATTGTGTCAAATGCGAAATTTGCGGTAGAAATTTTTGACGGGTCAGACATTTTGGGATGTGGCAAGGCGAGGTTCTAGATGTCCTTTTTCAACAAGGGCTAGATCTGGCCATTGAAGAAAAGAAACCAGATGTTATTGGAGAAGAAGATTGGAGAATTATCAACCGTGTTGCTTGCGGTACCATTCGATCCTACCTTGCTAGAGAGCAGAAATATCCATACACAAAGGAAACTTCTGCAAGTAAATTATGGAAAGCATCGGAGGATAAAATTTTGAAGAAAAACAGTCAAAATAAATTGTACATGAAGAAGAGACTGTTTCGCTTCACCTATGTTCCTGGTACCACGATCAATGAACATATCACCAATTTTAATAAGTTGGTCACATATTTGCAACAATTTTTGCGGAAGCCAAATGTATATTGTGTGTTTAAATCCCAAACATTAGGCCTCCTTTTATAGAGAAATATTCCCTACCAAAAGGCTAAACCACCGATGTGGGATTTGACAAATTCAACAAATCTCCACCTTGGCAAAATTCCACATCTTCACTTTTCTCTCTATAACAAATTTTGGTTGTATCTTCGTCTTCAATCTTCAGTGTTCAACAATGTTGATCAAATCCAAACAATGTTGAAACTTGACCGTAGTCACCACCTTTGTCAGCATATCAGCAGGATTCTCCGTAGTATGAATTTTCTTCACTGTGACTCCACCTTCTTCTATGATTTCTCGTACGAAATGATACCGAACATCAATGTACTTCGTCCTTGCATGATAAACTTGGTTCTTCGCTGAAAAAGAATAGCACTTTAACTATCATAAAAAATTGTGATACTTTTTTGTCCAATGTCAAGCTCTTTTAGCAACCCCTGAAGCCAAATTGCCTCCTTCACAGCCTCTGTAATAGCCATGTACTCTGCCTCTGTTGTAGACAAAGCAACTGTTGACTGCAAAATAGACTTCCAACTAACTGGTGCCTTTGCAAAAGTAAACACATAACCAGTAGTTGATTTTCTTTTGTCAAGATCACCCGCAAAATCTGATTCACAATATCCAACTAGAGATTGATTGCCTTCCTGCTAAAAAATTAACCCAACATCTACAATATTATGAATATACCATAGAATCCACTTCACAGCTTGCCAATGCTCCTTTCCTGGATTGTGCATATATCTTCTAATAACTCCAACAGCTTGTGAAATGTCAGGTCTCGTACAGACCATTGCATACATCAAGCTACCAACAACATTTACGTATGGTACCCTTGACATATACTCCTGTTCAGCTTCATCTTTTGGCGACATAGTAGTACTTAGCTTAAAATGGTGAGCAAGTGGAGTACTAACTGGCTTAGTCTTCTCATCTATGCCAAAACGTTATAGTACTCTTTTCAAATATTTCTTTTGAGATAAATAAAGTTTCTTTGAACGTCTATCTCTTATTATCTCCATGCCAAAAGTTTTCTTTGCCTCACCCAGATCCTTCATCTCGAACTCCTTCTTTAGTTGAATCTTCAACTTATCAATTTCTTTCGAATTCTTGGAAGCTTTGAACATATCATCAACATATAGGAGAAGATATACAAAGGAACCATCTTCAAGCTTGCGCAAATACACACAATGATCGTATTTGCTTCTCTCGTACCCTTGCCGCAACATAAACTTGTCAAATCGCTTGTACCATGGTGCAACTTTTGATGATGGTGACTTGGCCTTGATGTTGTTGGGGTCACTTCCCGATGAG